TTACTTTTATTTTACCAATATTGCACTAAACAATCCATTTAAAACTCAGCCATTATGCCAAGACCTCAACGCATGCATTTGTGTCTAAAATTTTCCTAAAGTACCCCCATACTTTAAATACTCACAATCTTCATAAACACTTGCCCACTTTTTCCGAACAATGCTCATTTTATGCAACCCTCCGAATCCATCCGCAGAAAACCTCCTAACCTCAAGGTATTTTTAGTTGAGCAACCTAAGCATACATAATCTAGAATTACAATTTATGATACCACTATGGAGCTTTTTAGGAATTCTTCACTTTCTTAACAATTTGATCTTTGATTTCTTTGAATTCACCACCTTATTTGATTTGATTTCTTGGTATCTTCAACTTTTTGAATTTCTTGGAATTTTGATCTTTTGATCTTCACTTTATTTGCTCCAAAATTCTTCAAACTTTTTCGTAATTCTCTCTTTTTTTTTTTTTTTTTTACATGTACCTCTCTTTTTTCACTCAAAACCTACATGCTTAAGCAGAGGCGCTCAACCTCAACCTTTATTGGTTAATGATAATAATTTTCCTGGATACATTTCAGGTTTAGGCTGCTAAACATATTGCATCCTTCAAACCGAGCGGGGTTATGTTTTTGTTCCATGATTTCACTAAAATAAGGGAAGCCACAAATGCACTATAACGTATATTGGCTCAACTAAACATTTGAGTTCTCATCGGATCATCTCATACAATATTAGCAAAATTTTAAATTATCACTAGATTTTTCTAAATTAAACTATTATTTCAAGTTTTCTTTTAAATTTTTAAATTTCCCTAAATCTAGCAATTTCCAACTATTATTTCATTTTTATAATTTACTTTTACCGACCCCTACCCCACACTTATTTCATACAATGCCCTCATTGTATGCTAAAACAAATTAAGAACATAAAAAGGGAGAAAAAGGAACAGACTCCCCTGGGTAGTTGTGGCGAGATCGAATGGGGCTGCTACAGGTTGCTTCAAATATTGCTGAAAAACTGAAAACTGGAACTGCTGCTTCTGAATGTGCCGGAAAATACAAAAGAACATTGACTTATGAAATATGGTGCGAACGATTGCAAACTAAAGCAATGTATAGTGACCATGACGTGGGAAAGTGTCAACCACGTGTCGTCGAGTGAGGAAAAATCCATATCGCGAATAATAGCATGGCCACGACGTGGTAAGTGGTGGTCACGTCGTGGTATGTAGAATAGCAGCCTCCTCTCGCGATGAAAAACTCCCCCACGACATAGGAAAGTGTCAACCATGTCATGGCAGCCGGGATGATACTTCTACATCGCGTCAAAATAAAACTCCATGGTGTGGGAACAACTCATCCATGCCATGGGAATCAATGTATAGTTAGAAACGCCACTCTTCGAAATAATAATCCCTCCAAATATCGACGCGCACCCCACACTTATTGAAAGTCATGGCTCTCAAGTGTCAACTTCAAACCCTCACACGGTTTTTTCTCTCGTGACAAATCAACATTCGACCCCAATTATTGAAATTTCTGAAAGCATCTGAAGGGAAAAGTTCTGCAAAGATCTGAAACATCAAGAGCATCAACATGGAAAACAAATTTTAAACAAACTAAAAATAAAAATAAAAACTCACTAAAATAACTAAAAAACCAAAATAACTAAAAAGGATATCACGATCACATGTCTTCGTCAAAATCAAACTACAATTGTTGATTAAATCCCTTGCATGCAAGAGGTGGTTTGCGAAAACAAAAACTTTCGGGACCTGTCAGACTATTTCCTTTGTTTTCTTTGCACCATTAACTAATAAGTAGAACAAGAGTTGACCCAACTAGTCAAGAGTAGCAAGAGTTCAGTCTTCCACTTAACCACCTCGATACGCCTTGCTATACTACGCCTCGTGGATTGAGTTGGACAAATCACCAAAGTATTAGACTAAACAAGTCAAGAATTCCCTAATCGCTTGCAATCTCGAAACCCATGCAAAAGTAAACCAATCGATGTGTATGATCACAAATTCCTGCAAATAACAACAAAACCTTCCCGACAAGCGAAATGATATCAACGAAAATAAAACTAAAAAAAATAAAATAAAAAACTAACTAAAAACAAATAACGAATAATCAAATAAACTAAATTAATTGAAAGTCGTTCCCCGGCAATGGTGCCAAAAACTTGATGTGCACAAAAGTACCCACTAATTTTAATATTTATAACCTAACAAACTTAGACTAACTATGCACTTATAGGCAGTGTACCTAGTCAGATTACAGTATAGCTTAGGTAAGTCGGGTGTCGATCACAGGGAACGGTGGTGAATTAATTTAAAATATTTAATTATAGGTTACAGGTCACACGGAAAGAATAAAGAAGTAGTTTAATAAATCTCAAACGAACAATTAATTAACAACTCTCGATAAACTAACAGGAAAGCAAATCTCTTCAGGTACTTTGGTTTAGACAAATTACACTTTAAAAACATAGACAATTGCATACACAAATTCATTTATTCATGTTCACCGATTCCTAAAATGATTAGATTCGCGTTCACTATAACTAATCCTTTAGCAAACAAGTTAATTCAAACAGTGATCAGTTGATTAAACTAACATGCTTCCTAGTGTTCAGTTCGTATCAAGCAAGACTTGCAAATATAGTTAATCAAATTAGACATTCAATTAACCTCTTGTTGATGGTCATCAAACAAGGCTCACACATTAACTTACTTATTCTCAAGTTAATCCTAGTTTCACATTCGTTATTCCTAGACTTATAATCTCGATGGTCACCAAAATCATAAGAGACAAGCAATCAAGCATATGTTCATACAACTCAATTCACTTAACAATTAACAGCAAATAATTATCATTAATACGTAAGGATCTTTTAACAAGCTTGGCAAGATAAATTAAACACAAACAAACGATTCAATATAGCAATTAGTCTAATAATCAAAGTTTCATTCAATCATAAACACAAAGTAAAAGGTTTTTACACCTAAATCAGAAACTAAATACATAATAGCAACACAATGGAATGCTAAACATGGTCACGTTAACAACCCATATGATTACCGACATGTATCCGCTCTCCAACCCTTCCGATCTGCTCCCGTTAGCTTAACGGCCTTCCGGCCACCTCCTAGACCCTCAAAACGGCAACTATGAAGTTTTCTTGTTGCACAAGTCGAAGTGGAATATCATAGATTATTCAAATTGGTGGAATGATATGGGGTATTTATAGTTGATGGAGATGGAATTTATATGGAATATTAGAGTTGGATTGGAATAAGGAAACTAATGGTGGCTTAGGGATTAAGCAAATAAAAATAAGATAAGTGGAGCTTGGGGAATAAGTAACTTGGAGGGAATTTCCGTCCAGCTTTTATGCTTCATCTTCAAGGCCGATTTTGGATAAGATAAGTGTCGAATTAGCCAAAAGTCCCTCTCACATAAGTCGTAGGAAATTTCGTCTAGTTTTCAGAACAGTTTAAACCTAGTCAATTGGACTTATGAGTCATCAGATATACCCGAAACACTGAAGAGGGGTCAATCTGCCAGCAATATCCTTTTTGCATCTTTTCAGCTCCATTCTCTTTCTTTTGCATTCCATCTCCCATTTTAACTGTAATTAAATATTTCAAAGCATATTAAGTTTATTTTAGTTCTAAATAATAATAATAAATGCAAAAATATTAAGATATGTTATACATAAATATATATATAAAAATACACATATCACTTCTACTCCGCGATCAGGTGCCCTCCATAGTACGTTAAGTGTATCTAATGGTATGCCCCGCGTACTAACTCCAAGGACTAAATTACAATAAATTAAATATAAAGGTCAAAAGGAAACACACCTAAATCGAGTGTTACAGTAAGGAAATGTGGGTTTTCTTCTTGAGCATCTTTTATTATGTATATGTATGTGTGTATGTGTGTTTGTGAGAGAGAAGAGATATAGAATGGAAGAGGAGGAGGATGAGGAGGATACTTGTGGGGAAAATGGTACACAAGTGGAACCCATAAGTTCCATCTTTTGTATTCACCTTCATCTGTAAAAAGGAATTAAAGCGCATCTATTATATTTTTTTGGTGACGATGTAGGTGGTTCATATTTAATCCCTTTATTCTTCACTAGATCTCACCTGATCTCTTTGAAAATGTTGGGATTTTGAAGGTATGTGTAGATTTTTGTGAAGTTTTTGTGAAGTGTTTGTGTGTGTGTGTGTTTTATTCTCAGAGAGAGAGAGAGAGAGATTGTTTTTTTTTATTTTAATAAAAAAATTAATAAATTAATAATAAAACTGAAAAGTAAAAAAAATAAGGGTAAAATCATCATTATAATAAAGTTCAAAACTCACAACAAAATAAATAATTTGAACCTCTGTGGATAGTCAAAACCTTTTTGGATCAAATTGATAATTTTCAGCCTAACCACAAAGACCATTTGTGCAGTTTTGTCTTTCTTAAAAGCCTAACCTCTGGACAGTAAAGGATTTTTTTAACAAAGGAAAAATTCCATAAAATCAAAGTTTTTTTTTTTTTTTTTTTTTTTAAATAAACACTAAATAACCTTTTGAATTTTAAACCACTTCAGTTTGAAATTTTTCGGTTTACCCCTCTAGGGAGAAAGACACTTTAGCGGCTTATCTTCTTAATTCAGTTCCGCAACTCAACTGGGGAATCGAAAAAACCTAGTTATTTATCTTCAGAGACTATATCCGATTTAGCATTTAGTGGCAAAACCCCCTCCCGGGCATTCAAAGAAAACTTGTTCAAAATGATTAACTAAAACTTTCTATAACAACATTGCATATGAAGAAACAAAAGGGAAACCAAAACATAAAACCAATTCCAACAACATATGTAACATGTTCATTTCAACCTCAAACTTATATAGCATCATATCATCCCATTAAACATCCCAACAGAAAATCAACATCTAAAGTCAACTGTTTATATAACAACCAAACTAAGCAGCTTTAATCACTCATCATTGTAAATATGATCAGCCATCTGCCATACTTGGAGAATGTTATCATCAGCAACACTAGCAATCACCCAATCCTCACATGGATTCCATGACAAATCCACAACTCTATCTGTATGTCCACCATGGATGAACATCAGCTCAGGTGGCCCATCTTCTGCATCCCGTGACGATTGTTCTTCCCCAATCCTACATTTTTTTTAAAAAAGAATTGCTATAATTCTGTAGATGTAATAAGAAGAAAAGAATAAAAGTAGGTTGCTATTTACTAAAGTTACCTACTAAGATCCCAGACCAGGAGTCTCCTACCAGCACAACAAGAAGCTAAAATTGTCTCATTCTGTGGGCTCCACCCAACCTGAATCACCTCATTCCTGTGATAACACAAGTAGAAAAATGAAAAAAGGCATAGTCTTCAAATAATATTTATAAGTGAGTATTCTTAAATCTTACAAGTGAAAATTAAATATATGGAGAGCACTTGTGAATTTTCGCAAATCAAACAGCTTCACTGTATTGTCTACAGACCCCGTTGCCACTATCCATTCGTTAAAAGGATTGAATGCCAAGCAGTTAATCTATAAAAATAATAATAATAATAATAATAAGAAAGAAAGAAAGAAAAAGTTTTTTTCAAAGTATAACAGAAAGCATTTGGGGAAATGTACAGAATTTTGGTGGGCCATTAAGGTCTGAATGGGTTTAGTGAGACATGGAGAGCGGAGATCAAATATATGCAAGTATTTATCATCACCACATGAACCAAATAAGTAGTCATGCTTCAAACTCCATGCTACATCTTCAACAGGACCATTATGAACCTGTTAAACATATCAAAAAATGATGATTTTAATTGGAAATATTACTCATTCATTCACAAAAGATTATTGGTAAATATATTATATTGTATTGTACCTTATATATTTGCATTGCATCCAAAGCATGATTCACTGGGGTCCCATTTATGTCCCACATGCAAATTTTTTCATCATAAGAGCCACTCAACAACAAACCTTGTTTGAATTTACTCCATGATAACCCAAATCCATCACTTTCATGACCTTTCAATATCAAATCAGGATTGAATTGTTCATCAGGACAAGGCTTAATTGGATGACGCAGATAATCAAAAACATAAACTTCTGAATCAATTGTTTTTGTAGCAATTACACAGCTGTTTTGAGGCATATAACGAGCCCTATGCACCTCTCCTTCATGACAAATTTGTTGCACCACTTCAATCTGATCAAATTTTTTAAAATTAAAATCCAAAATTCAAATAGCAATGTTTTTTTAGTAAGAAAAAAAACACAAACCTTGCGTCCAGAATGTTCATACTCATTGTCATGAGAATCATCATACTCCACATCAAATAAAGGAAGCTTGACTTGTGCAATAATGAGATAATTAGGTTCATCATCTGAAGTGTGGGTCCCAAAGATAATCTTTTGGATAGAATACTCCCCATCTGGTGATTCTATCTGATCAGGAAGCCATTCAACGGTGAGTGAAGGCCATTCAAGTGCGCGTGAAATGACAAAATCGTACAAAAATGGAGTTTCTTTTTTCCAAATTTTGTACTCTTCATTAAACATTCTTTCAAACTCCTCACCTCTTGAGTAGTCTATGTCTAGTGTTTCTTCATCGATCTTGTCTCCTGTTTCATCCTCTTTCTTTTCAAGATTTGTGTCCTTTTCGTCCTCCATCTTCAATACTCAAAAGGGTTTGCTTGAATTTGTAGCAATCCTATTCCTATCTCCAAAATCAAGAATTGAAGGATTGATTCCCCTTTGGGCAAACTCAAACCCTAGAATTTTATGCACAAAAAAGGTTATAAAGATTGAATGTTGAGACCGATTATGGGCCGGAGTAAAGAATGAGCATTAATTACTGGATTGGTAACTTATTGGGCCGATTTTTGTAAACATGGTACTCAATCCTATAAATTATTTGCGGGATATTGTTGGATTTGTTCCAATTCTAGACATGCTTTGTTTTTTTTTTATATCTAAAACGGAAAGTGTCACCATGTGTCCATGTCATTATAGTATAATGAACTTTTCAATGGACAAGATCATGAATATATTTCTCTCTTAATCTCTCAATGTAGATTGTTTTCCTTAATCACTAAAAAAGTTATGTTTAGATATTGGCAAATAAGGTGAATGCAAATGCATTCATTACAAAATGAAAAGATAAAAGTATAATCATAAACAAAGAAATAGACCACTAACTAAGTTCATTAGTACTTTTTCTTGTGTTATATGATAGTTTCTGCTTTTGCATTGAAATTAATTCATATATTACTCTTCATTTTGCAAGTCATACAATTGTTAGACTTTTAGATACCATTAATTTGGCTTCTAAGAGATCATAAATCGATTTAAGATGTCATTCATGAAGAGTTTCCTATTGATAATAGTATCCTGTGTTGTCTAAGATACAAATTACTGAATCAAGAACTGGATTTGGCAACTCTAAAGGACTTATAGTGGTTTTGACTTTTGACTAAGAATAGACTTGACTCATTAAAGGTAACTGGATTATCTAGAAAAGTGGGAAAGTGGCAACTTTAAAGAGCTTAGTGAATTAACTACCCCTCAAGGTTTATCTTTTTTCTACTTCAAACTAGCTTATTGCATCTCTCCAGTGTATGAATCTTCTAGTTGTGACTTGTGAGTGAGTGAATCTTCAAATGGTTTTAACTTAGTGGCAAGAATCAAATGATGGTTTTGAGTTGTTACTTACTAATAATAGTATATGCATACATCTTTCTACTCATTTAAAAGGGATTTCATGAACTAGAATCTGATACCTTTTGAACAAATTCAGTAAGTTTGCACATTGGCAAATCACTTCATATCATCCTCATCATCCAACCCCATTGTTCAACAAATCAAACATTACCCAAACCACTAGATTATGTAGTTGTATGCAACAATTATGTTTCATGACTTAATCTTATGGCAAAACATTGATTTCTCGAAACCATGTGTGTAGATGATATAAGAATTTATTGTACTCTAATAAGTTCTGCCCTATTTTACTATGAAATATTTTCCCATTTGGCAGATACATTT